ACTCCTCCCCCACTTATTTTTAAAAAATATGTCTTTTTGAATTTTTCAACTTTTTGTGACTTATATTAAAAAAAATTGGACAAGTGCGAGTTGTACTCGCACTGCAATGGCGGGTTCCGCACACAAATATTAAAACAATACTTGCAACATTGATCGGTAATTGGTAGAATTAAAATAAACAATTATAAAAATATATTAAAATCATTTGATAAAAAAAATAACTAAAAAAATTAAAGTATTATATATATCTAATATTGTAAACAATAATAAGCAGAGGAACAAAATTTTCAAAATTTATTATAGTTCCTCTGCTTATTATTATTTACAATATTAGATATACAATACTTTAATTTCTTTTAGTTATTTTTTTTATCAAATGATTTTAATATATTTTTATAATTGTTTATTTTAATTCTACCAATTACCGATCAATGTTGCAAGTATTGTTTTAATATTTGTGTGCGGAACCCGCCATTGCAGTGCGAGTACAACTCGCACTTGTCCAATTTTTTTTTATTTTTAGTTAAGAAATTAAAGTCAGAAAACAATCTCTCATTTATTCTCTTAAAATTTCACTCTCTTCCTACTTCCTTAAAATATTTAATGCCACGTGTTTAAACTAAAAAAAATTGAAAAAATTTTTTTTTTTGAAAAAAAAAATTTAAAAAAAAATTTTTTTTGATTTTTTTTCAAAAAGTTTCTTAAATAAATTTTTTGTTGTCAGAATGTAATAATAAACTAGGGCACCAATTTTCAGCTCATTAGGTCAAATAATGTAAAAGTTAGGAAAAAAAAAATTTTTTTAAAAAATTTTTTAGATTTTCCTTGACAACGCTATGGCCATCATTACATATCAAGTTCTCTATATTTTTCCTGTAATATTCGAGTAAAAATACACCAGCATGCAAAATTTCAGCTCTCCATGTCGAACAGTTTAGAAGTTAAGGGGGGGGGGGGGGGGTCCAATGGTCACTTTTTATGCATTTTTGACCAAAAATCTTGTTATTTCCTTGACAACGCTATGCCCATCACGTCCAATCACATTCGCTATATTTTTCCTGTAATCTACGAGTGAAAATACATATCTGTACCAAATTTGAGCTCTTTAGGTCAAATAGTTTAGCCGCTAGGGGGGGGGGACACGATTTGGCTACGGACAACAGAGTCTCACCAATAGGGTTCCGCCGTTACACCGTAGGTGTACGGAACCCTAAAAATAGGATATTTCGATTATTGCTGACCTTTTTTCCCAAAAAAGTACTACTTTTCGACACTTATTTCTGTGAAATATGACATTTTTTTTAATTTTTTGTGACTTTCTTTTTAATAATATACGATAATTTTTCATGATCTTTTCTTACCAAAAAATGGAACCTTTCAACATTTATTTTGATGAAATATAATTTTTTCTTTTTGTTTAATTTTTGTGATTAGTCACACAAATTTTTAATTGTTCTAAAAATCTGTCCAACGTTATTGAAATTCTTAATGAGTGTTTTACATTTAATTGTTCGTAATGCTTTATATACATGTGGAAAATGGGCCCCCTCCTTCGCCCCCTTTTGTGAGGTACAGCCAAAGAAATCATTGCTTTTAAATGAAATACAAAAGAAAAAATTTTTGTCTATTGTATAAAAATTAAAAGCAACTCATTTACCTCCCCAAAAAATGAATGTCAAATGTGTAAAGCTACCAAAAAAACCAAAAGTGTTTGATGATAATGAATCAATCATTTAAATTAAATGTCTTATAGCCGGAAAAACTTCCGGTTTGGGGATATCTTTATCCGATAATAAGCCTTCCAAATATAATCCTATATTCAGAATATTTCTTCCCGCATTGATGTCACGCTCCCACATTATTTTGCAACCTTTACACAATGCGTATCGATGTTTTGTTTTTGATACTAAGCAATCGTCATTACAGGTAGAACATTTTTTGGTTGTGTAGGCTTCGTTAACAATAATTACCTTTAGACTTTCTGTTCCGTATTCTTTGCTTCTGTTGATTAGTCTACGTTTTATTTCATTTAATTTTGTCGCATGATGTCCTTTAATAAATGACCTAATATCGGTTTGTCCCAGTACCACTAAACATGGTGCTGATTTCGTGTCACCAATTATAAAATTTATTAATTTTTCAAATTCTGATTCTCTTCTAATAATTTTATTCCAATTTAAATGATTGAATACTCTTTTCTCCAAGACAGGTTGATAAATTCTAAATATTGCAATTCGGTATTTTGCAATATTCAAATAATTTAAAGGGTTTTTTAAATTAATGTCTTTGAAATTACTATTTTCACGAATAACATGCTTTTTCCTTTTAATAATTGTTTTTGTTTTTTTTTAACAATTAACCTTCTTTGCGGAATTCCCATTCTAAATCTCATACTGCGATTATGCACATAAATTGCTTGATCTTGATGTTTATTATTAGAAGGTTTTGGATTACCAACTCTCACAACACCTCCAAAAACAGCCTTCTTTCCTGGATCTAAACCAACGAAACGTGAATATTTTGTTTTATCATTAGTGCATTTTCCTTTATTGTCAACTTTCAATAGATTCTTGTAAAACCCAACCGATGCTTTCACTCCGTCAGTCATGATAAACTGTGCGATATTTTTTTTATTTAAATTTTCAATTTTGATAGACAGCCTATTAAATAAAAATTTTAATTGTTCATTTCTTTTTTCTTTATTATACGATTCATTATTTTCTTCATGGTTCCTTTTCTTTGTCGAATTAAAAATCTCTCATTCTTTTCTTTGTTCTTCTGTTCGGTTTCTTTTTTTACCTCTTTCCATATTTTGAATATAGGGCAAAACATCCTCTTTCAATACTGTAAAACTATACGTTTGGTGTTGCACACCTAATCTCTTTATAGGAAAAAGCGTAAAACTTTTTTCTCCATTCATTATAAAATATTTTTGTAATCTTAAAAAGAATGGAAAAAATTTTTTACAAGAATTATCTTTCTCTATATTTTTGAATAATAAATTTTCTTCGTTTAGTTTTTGGAAAATAGTGTCATTACATTTCCCTATCATAGCCGCATTCAAAAATGCCTCCATTTCTTCTTTTGATCTGCGTGGCTTTTTTTTTCTTCTTAATGTACTTGTCATGTTCGTTTCTTTTTTTTCTTCTTTTTCATTTTTCCTCTTTTTCTTTGTTTCTCTCATTTTCTTCATAAAACAGTCTGAAATATTTTGTTTTTCATTTAAACTCTTTCTATTTTTCCTCCTTTTCTTTCCATGATTATTTTTCTTTAATGCGTTGTCTCTTTTTTTTCTTTCGGCTGCTACTCTTTTCTTCCTTCGTTGTCTTTTCTTCCTTGAGTTGTGTCTCCTTCTATTTTTCCCACTTGCATTTTTCTTTTCTGTTTCCAACGTTTTTATTTCAATCTTTTTTAAATCGTCATTGATTTCAATTTTTTCCTTACACTCTTCAGACGGCTTTAGGTAAAAAAACTTTTTCAACATATTAATTAGTTGACTTTTCATCAAAGTTTTTAATGATTCCTCGTAATTTTCAGCCGCCTGCTTAACTAAGTTCTTCTTTAAAAAAGTATCATACAGAGGTATTTCACTTTCTTCTATTCGTGCTCGATATGAATCGAAAGCATCGTATAATTTTTTGTTTCTTTCTATCAAAGACAAAGTTGTTTTTGCATTTCTGTCCCTTATTGTGAAGCACTCAAATATGGTTGAAATTCTTAGCTTATTGTCAACCCATTGTTGTAGAAAATCTGAATCCGGCATCGTAAATAAATATTCGCAAAAATAGCTTGCTCTAATTGCGATTCTAGAAACAATTTTTACATCGCTTCTGATTTTTTCTAAAACAACAGGGTTCTTTACAATTGTGTTTAAAGAACATCTTTTTTACAAAAATGTCTTCTTCACAATTAAGAATTTTTTTTTCTTTAAATTGTTTTCTAGTGCCTGCTGATACGCCACCGTCAATGGTTTTTGTAATTTTTTTCGATCTGACATTTTTTTTAATAAAGAAACAAAAGAGGAATTAATAAGGAAAAAGTGGATTGTTCGAAAAAATCCTACAATGAGGACCACGAACAAAAGAGGAATTAAGAAGGAAACGGATTGTTCGAAAAAATCCTACAATGAGGACCACGAACAAAAGAGGAATTAATAAGGAAACGGATGTCGAATGAAGAGTCAAACTCTTCTGAGGGTCACACCACTCTTCGACATGTTGACTCGACAAACAAGAGTCACACTCTTGTGAGGGTCATACCACTCATCGAGATTTAGTCGTTGCTGCGTCGTGGTCGTCGGAGAAGAGCACAAGAACGAGTCTTGCAGGGTCAAACCTCTGAAGCTCCGTGAAGTCGAATGTGTCGTGGCCGTGCGGAGACCCTATCTTTATACACGCGCGAGAATCATGAGTGTTCCGTGATTGGTTGTTTAGGAGGCGGTGGGGGCATCGAGAACTGAGACTCCGTGAGACATGGTGGGGATACTGATATACTCTCGGACCGTTTTTCTCTCGCGACCAGTATAGATGACGATTGCGCAAGCGCGCCTTTATTAATCGATCGCCCAACACTTTATCTTGAAACCTCTCGACGCGAATCTATTTGTGATTTTTTTTTTCGCGTATATATATTTTAGCATACAAACGTTACAATAGAAGAAAATATATGCGGAATCGAATTTCCAATAAGGAAGTGAATTCAAAAATTTTTTTTATGACCATCGATTTTTCAACCATCAGAGGCTAACGGACCGGGCGCCCTGCTGTGCTAGGTACGCTCCGAATCTCCAACTCAGGCCCCTGGCCGCATTGTGGGGGAAGACTACTTCCCCTCACGGAAGCGATGCTCATGGAGATCACACAGAAACACGTCACAACTGAAGCCTGCTAATCAATAACGCCTTTCTTCCCCTTCCTAGCGCGAAAGATCTTCAGACCAACGTACGATCGATGAGTCAGCAATATCCCGAAAATTTAGACATTTTAGTGTGCTAATTAAAAATGGAAAATTTATCAATCCCCACTTTGGCGGTTGAAAATAAAGAAAGAATAAAAAAACCAAGTCAAAAAAAACGCCGAGCTGAACAACGACGAAAAGCAATTGCTCTGCAGTTGAATAATCCAGAAGTCGATATAGTTATTCCTGTGGGGAAAAGAAAGAGAAACAAGGAAAAGCAAACTTTCAAAAATTTAATTCCTTTTTTAGAATCAGACATTTCGATTTCAGAATTTGAAAAGTGTTCAACAATGTGTAGTGCAGTGGGTGCAGAACCGTCTACTTCCGAAGTGGAAATGAGTTTAGATGATGTGATGTCATTAATTGAAGATGAGAAGAAATCAAATGCACCAACTGAAATGGATGAAGATTTTCTTGAACTTGATACCTCACCACTGAAAATGACACCGCTAAAGCAGACACCACCAGTGACCAGAAGCTCAATTACTACAAAAAAATCCAAACAGGACAGCATTCGAGACGTCCGAAAGGTGCTTTTTTAGTGTTTTTTTCACATTTTCTGAATTTTATTTTTCAATCGTTTTTTCGTTTTCTATTTCAATTTTTAAAGCGTTTTCATTTTTGTACCTTTTTATTTATAAACACCATGTCACATAAGTGATGCGTTTCAAAGAACATTTCAAAGACTTTAGATTATTAAGTAATGAATCAAAAATCTGAAAAAGTGATAATATATTTTTTACTTTTATTTTTTCAAGCGTTATATATCTTTTTCGTTTTTCACTTATATTTTTCGAGCATTTTTTAGTTTATTCACTTTTTTATATTTATAATTTTATACTTTCAAATTTTTGATGAAAATTATTTTAATAAATGTGATTTACCTTATCATTGATAAATGTTACAGTGCTGTGTTCTAAACAACAATACAAAGACTTTGGATTATTTAGTAATGTATTAAAGATCTCAAAAAAGTAATAATACGTATGTATGTATATATATATATACAATATTTGAGACTGAATTAATACTATTAAAATGTTATATTTATTTTATAAGAAACATTATTGTTCAACGAAATTACTATTCAATAGTTAAGAAAAATGGTATTCTTAATATAAAACATATTTATAATTTCATATTTTTAATTTTTTGTTGGGAATTATGTTTGCGAGGTTGCTCACGTATACCTACACATGACTATAACAGTATGAAATTGTTCCTCATAACCTGGTCGAAGCTGGCTACGATTAGGTGTTGTATTGAAAAATTTTAATAAACTTTAATTTAATTTTGTTTGTTTAAAAGTCAACAGTGATAATTTTTTCTCTTCATTCAACTTACCCTATAATATTAATTAACTTATTCTTATATAAAAATGAAACAACTCTTATATATGGAATTTTCTAAAATGAATGTAATTTCAATTTTTCTTTTTCATTCGAGTGCCTCTCGATAGGATTATCTCGTATTCTTTTTTTATTATCTTCTCATTTTCAATTTTTTGGTATCAAAAAATTCCCCTACCATGCGGCCTTGTACCTGACTTCGGGGTTCGGAGCGAACGTAGCACAGCGGGGCGCCCGGTCCCTTAATCCCTCATTAAGCCATCCTTCCTTAATGACATTCATTTAAAAATATAAATTTCTTAAATATAAACATTTTTCAATTTTTCTTATTGAATTCAGATTCCTTATTTTATTACGAATCCATACATATGTAGTTTGCCTTAAAAATGTTAGTATTTAAAAAGTTTAAAATTTATTATTAACTGACTGATTGTAATTCTTAAGTTTTTTCAGAATTCAAATGAAGTTAAATGTAGATTATACAGACAGAGAAAATGTATATTTGCTTAAAAGTCAAATTTACTATGAATTTATTTGAGTGTCAGTTCATAATAAATTAAAATTTTTTTTAAATATTAAAATTTTTAAGGCAAACAACATATGTATGGATTCGTAATAAAATAAGGGATCTGAATTTAATAAAAAAAACTTTAAAATGTTTATATTTAAGAAATTTATATTTTTTAAAGACTGTCATTAAGGAAGGATGACTTAATGAGTGATTAAGGGACCAGGCGCCCCGCTGTGCTACGTTCGCTCCGAACCCCGAACCTTCCCCCACCATGCGGCCTTGTACCTGACTTCGGGGTTCGGAGCGAACGTAGCACAGCGGGGCGCCTGGTCCCTTAATCCCTCATTAAGTCATCCTTTCTTAATGACAGTCTTTAAAAAATATAAATTTCTCAAATATAAACATTTTAAAGTTTTTTTTATTAAATTCAGATCCCTTATTTTATTACGAATTCATACATATGTTGTTTGCCTTAAAAATGTTAATATTTAAAAAATTTTTTAATTTATTATGAACCGACACTCAAATAAATTCATAGTAAATTTGACTTTCAAGCAAATATATATTATCTCTGGCTAAATAATCTACTTTTTACTTCAGTTGAATTCTGAAAAAACTTAAGAATTACAATCAGTCAGTTAATAATAAATTTTAAACTTTTTAAATACTAATATTTTTAAGGCAAACTACATATGTATGGATTCGTAATAAAATAAGGAATCTGAATACAATAAAAAAAATTGAAAAATGTATATATTTAAGAAATTTATATTTTTCAATGAATGTCATTAAGGATGGATGGCTTAATGAGGGATTAAGGGACCGGGCGCCCCGCTGTGCTACGTTCGCTCCGAACCCCGAAGTCAGGTACAAGGCCGCATGGTGGGGGAAGGCCCCTTCCCCTCACGGGAGCGAATTGATAATCGCCCGAACTCAGGCCCCTGGGCGCATGGTGGGAGAATGCCACTTCCCCTCACGGGAGCGAATCGATGACTGCCCATACGCACAGCCAAGAGGAGGCCCGTTTAAACGATAAATCACGATAAATACGTTTGCCCGAACAACCATTATAAAAGAAGCAAAGGAAGGATACTGCGATTCGTCCAGGACTAAGAGAAAGCAAAATAAGCAAGAGGAGAAAATCAGGTTCGGCTTAGAGAAAAAAATTCCATCATTAGACACGTAACAGTTTCATTTACTTTTATTGCGTAGGTATGCGAGATTTCGCTTCCCCTCTAAAAAGCAGCAAGCGGTAAAAATTGAATTGAGCCGCAGCTTGGAACTAGAACAGTCTCCATGCATTCTGCTCTTAAGAATCCGCTCGTTTGCTATAAATGCAAAGTTGACGCCGGCCCTGCGAGGAACCAAATGCATTCTCTCCCGGGGCTACTCTTATGCATCTCCTGAGTACATATTACGATCGCTTAAGTCTCGACTCGACTATCGAGTGATCCATCGCTAGAATTCTACGAAGATACCACCCATCCCTGCAGATATATTCTCAACTAATGAGAGTCTGAACCTTCGTGCTTATTACAAATAAAGCGCCGTAAAGCGCACGCGTCAAGTAACCTAATGAATAACAGTCTTTTAAATTCGCAATAATTTCAAGAAACCAGCCGCAGTTTACGACCGCACTCACATCGTCTTTTATTAGGGAAATATTCTAATCTTGCCGCACTAGTGAACTGGGCAATTCTGTCAAAGTAGACCAGGAGATTTTTGTCATTTTCCTTGAATGTAGCCAGGTGAATACCAAGTGCATTCCTCGGCGCTTGTCTATCCGCGAGATGTCGTGTGTGTGTGTGTGTGTGTGTGTGTGTGTGTGTTGGGAGAAAAGGAGAGGAATTCAAAACAGAAGAGAGATGAAGCAAGAGGGAGAGGGAAGACAAGTCCAGCAGAGCGAGAGAAAGAGATAAAACTAGGTAGGTAGACATTCGGGCCCTGCGGGGGGCTCATAATTGCCGACCCTGAAGATCAGTCGGCCCCATGGGGCCCACCTCTGTTTGTTTTATTCCCTAGTTATACAAACGCGAGATCTACGACCGATATATGATAATCGTCTCCCTGCTCCCACCTTCTTCATCCAAGCTTCATCCTCTCTACTCTATATGCTCGCTCGGCTGTGCCACGACCAGCCACGACCACCTCTACGAAACGCGGATATTCAGCCGATGAGCACGCTCATCTCATTTTCTCTCACTCATTTTTTTCAACGTACTTTGAAAAAAATTTTAATAACTAAAAGACCAATAGATAATTTGCTAAATGAATTAATATTATTTTCACGAATTTGTCATGTGTTAAATCGGCTTATTATTTAGCTCTTGTTAGAGAAGACTGGCCAGTCCGAATATAGAAGCTTTCGGCACGTCTCATCAGTTATGGATCGCATTTATTCAAATTCCGGACTTGGCACGCATGATTAATTTTCTACCATTATTCTTATATAGCTACCAAGGGCTGGAGATGTGGTCACAAGTTTTTTTATACCTGTGTAAAATAATACAAGTTGGAAGAGGACTGGTGTCTTATCGAGGAGAATAACGGTGTGCCAATCTTGCTCTCGGGATCTAATTAAAATACTTCTGGGAATTGAAAATGTCCAAGTTGGTTTACATCTATTGAGCGAGTGATTCTCGAGGTCGTTAATAAAGCATATGTATAATAAAGTGTTTCAGGTAAAAATCAAGATATCTCTCAATGAGTCTTATCTCGTTTCCGTTACATTTTCTTGTTTTCTGGTTTCATCTGAAGCGCATAAATCAGAAGAAAAATTGATCGTGAGGGGAGAAAATGTTTATAATCTGTTTCGAAAATTGAGAAATTTTGAAATCTCTGTTTTGAAAATAAAGAGCTCTTAGCGAATGTGGTGTTTTACTGAGCCGAAGAGAAGTAGAACTTGCTTGATAAGAACTTCATTAATACTTTTCATTAGATATGCATTCTCCATGAGGCGACACAGTGATAAAGAGTCACCATTTGTCAAAGAGATAACTTTGAAAGCAACAGGTTGCTCCAAATGCCTTCGTTTTAGAACTTTAACAGGTACCTATATCTAAATGAGCAAGAATAATTATTTACCAAGATAAAAACTTGACAGTTACTAATTCAGGCGAATTCTATTTTTTCCTGCGACATCTATTCTTTATGGAAATTAATTAACTGCACTATACATTTACTGCTTTCGAAGATTGCCCAATAAATAAAATTCAAAACAGAACAGGACTTACCTCATTGTCCATTTTCATATACTCGACGTCGTCTTCGTCTACTTCAAAATACAGCTCCGTGGATGTTATTGACATGACACCTGGTGCTACGATTCCGGGCGCAATGAGCTTCGCCTTTGCTGTAATATTCACAGGACCTGAAAATATTTTTGAAAAATATTCTAATACTTGGATATTTTTTTTCAATTTCTTTAAACAGTGTATACAATTAATGTTCTGAGCGGACAATGCTTTTTCAGTAAAAGATTTAATACATTTTACACACACACACACATTTAGAATTGATGCTACACACTTTTTTGATAAATCATTCTAAATACTTTGTAATATTCTATACTTTTTAGACATTTCAAACATTGAAATTGAACACTCTTAAAATGTGAAGAATTGTATATGATATTTTTAAAAAAGTATTGATTTAAATGTTTATATTCCCTTATAACGGAAGAATTCTTGTTTCTCAGTTACTAACTTTAGAGTTTAGAGAAAACATTTCAGAAAGCAATGAAGGCACCAGACTTTTAAAGAAATACTTTTTTAAAAATAATTGTAACGTTTTTATTTTTTAATATAAAATAAAGAATACCTTGCGTCTAATGTGACATTTGAGTAACTACATAAAAAAATAATACAGGAAGAAAAAAAGAGATAATCTACTTTTTTGTACACTTTCCAAGTGTATAATAAAACAATATATATATATATTAGTAAAGTTTGATCATTCCTACCAGTGAGATCATTATCCAAGTCCCTGTCGTCGACTAAAAGTTCATTATCGTCCAAAAGATCTGGCGATTGTAGTTGTTGTTGATAGGCACGCGAAGCAGCTAGGTGAGCATGAAACTCTTCGCGTGCTTGGAGAATAGCGTCTTCCGGTGCTCCATGTTCCAAGGCAGCTTTGAGTGTTGCTTCGGGATGACTAGAGCCCAGAGGATTGTGCACGAAACGTCTCCGCCGACGAGTATCGTCTTCCCAGGTATCCAATTTCCAATACTCTGTCAACCTAAATTTCACATTCGTTATAGGATTAGTTCAAGCTGAATGGCATTTGTCACATTAATCAACTTCAAATTCCTATCTTCCGAAAAATTTTCATAAATTCCAGAATTCAGAGAGATTTTTCAAAAAATACAAAAATATCTTCATTTTCTTTATTAAAAAATAATTAAGTATATTAGTAATATTGCCCAGGGGGTTTAAAATTTATATTTAAACTTTAAAGAGAAAAAAAATATGCATTATATTTTATACAAAAAATTTATTATACATCTTATAATATTTATCTTTAATAAAGTAATAAAAAATTAGTGAATAGTCGTTTATATTAATTTACAATGGTAATAATTTCTATCAATTTTTTGTAATATTTCGAAGAGTCTGTTAATAAAAGAATAATAATGTGCTGTTTGTATTCAGAAACAAAGGCATTTTGTCTTACATATTATATTATTCACAAATTTACTATAATATTATAATTTTATGTTATGAATGAATGAATGTTTTATTATGTGCTTTTTTAATTTAAGGTTTTAATTGTTTCATAGATTTTTTAAAAAAGTTTTTTATTCGAAATTGTAATTCGTCAAACTTTGCAGATTTTCATCTATTATTTTTCTTATTAATTAGTTTGGAAAATAAATTAATTAAAAAAAACACCCAAATGTTTGGTGTTACTACTAAATGAAATACTTTTATACTTCTACATGAAATAATGAAACTTTTACTAATTTGAATTAGTGGAGGACTTTTTATTATTAATTCGAATTTAGAGCGCGTCTAAAATTGAAAAATACTTTAAAACTTACTTGGCAGCCATTGGATCCATGTAACCCCAAGCACCATGTTTATTTGTAAGAATATTACGAACTTTTTCTAAAATTCGACTAGCCATTACATTATCTCGTCTTCGCGAAGCCGTTATCAAATGGTCACACTTTCTCTCCTCTTCCCGTCGATCCAATAAGGTTTGTGCACAATGAGACTAAACAATAATAAACGATATTCTTACTGAGATAGTGCTAGAAAATAATGACTTTCTAATAAATATGTCATTAGTATAAAATATTAAAAATAGAACATCAAATGTAGTTGTTTATTTGTCGCCTTTTATTAAAATAAGCGACAAGTGTCTTTTATTTGAGAATGAAATGTTATTAATGAAAATAATTTGGTTTTGAAATTATCATTAATAAAATAAAGTTTATTTCACCTCAAATTCAGCATGCCTTAAAACATCTTCAGCTCGCATTCTATTTAGGATGAATTCCGCTTCATTGGAAACTCTTACTATATGCTCTTTCATTGCACATGACAGCAGTCTGCAAATGGCAATATTATGTTGTTATTTTTCTTGATAAATTTCATTACAATTGTTTAGCTTATGTAGAAGACTAGATGAAAACTCATCATTCGTGAAAGTAAATGAAAAGCAATCTTATTCACAGAAACCGATAAAGAAAAAAAAATCATCTACATATAAATTTAAAGTTAATTAAATTTTTCATTTACCTTCCTTCATTTATAAGTTCAATGAATGCAAGTCCAGCATTTTTCTGTAAAGAATTTTGCCATTCCTGGGAGCATAACAACATCACAAGCTCTACAACTGAATTACTATTTTTAAATGTCGTTAACCCTGAAAAGAAAAAAGTCGGTTAAAATGTATAATCGTTCTTCTATATACCTATATTTTATTTTATTAGTAGATAATAGTTATTCTACAGTTGACTGCACTTTATAGAATTTTTTGACCACAAAATGTAAGACATTACTAAAGCAGAATTTACAATAATAAATTTAATTTGTAGAATTGTTATTTCGAAAGTAGTTCTCCTATGTATTGATAATGATTTTTACAATTAAAGATGACTTTAATAATAATTTAGTTGACTGCATTTAGCAAATAGATGTGCATTCAGAACAAATGTACTGAAACTCAACGTATAGCATGAAATCCACTGAATTCAAAATCCAATAAATTAAAATGCACACAACCCGCATACTAACTATACAGATATATATTAGAAACATTAACATCGTGCGTGTGCACAGTTTTAATGCAAGTATATAATTTAATTATTGATATTAAACCAATTTTAATAATAAATAATGCACCTTTAGAAACTTGAAAGAAGTTTTTCCTAAATTTTAAATGCCAAAGTATAGTTAAAAAGAAGTACGTTCTTCTTAGTAATAATAATACTATTTTTATATAGTTACAAATTTGTAGTAAAATTAAATAGTTACAGATAAAGTGGAGAACTGACATAAATCAAATTAAATTTTATTAGTATTCAAGAAACAAAATCAGATTTTGTAATCTTGTTTACCTTCAAGTACACTGAGAAAACGATTTATTTGATTCAAACATATTTTGTTTAACTATCCCAGTAAAAAAAAACTAATTCAAATGAATTGAAACGAATTAACATTTTTGGTAGGCTCCAATTCGTATTTGTCACAAAGCGGGATTCACTCAAGCTCTTTGTATATTCAATTGAATTTAATTCAATATGTACCAATTTGTCCAAACGAATTCGCATTCGAAAGAAATGGCCAAGGAATGCATTGAATTCGTGCTAACGAATTGAAAAAAATTAAAGGCTCAAAACTTGTCCAGTGAATTGGTACGGATAGAAGGTTCGGAAGTTCAATACAGTTTCACGAATTCAGGAAAATTGCATCATGGCTCCAATTCGTATTTGTCACAAAGCGGGATTCACGAAAGCTCTTTGTGAATTCTTTTTAATTCATTTCAATTAGTTTTCGTTTACTGGGTAGTCAAACAAATTTAAGTTTAATTCAAAGATTTTTTTTTTTTTTTTTCTTGGTTCATTTAAAGAAATAATATATTTAATTCAAACATAAGTTGTGGTTGTTTTTAAATTACTTATAATATGTAATCAACTTTTAAGTTTGAATCAAACATAAAATTTATAAACATATTTTTTGTTTAAATCAAGACAGAAAATATGTTTGAATGAAATATAATTATTCAAACAAATAATATTTTTGAATCAAAGCAGTAGATATTTTCTATATATTGGGATTAAGCTTACAAACTAATTACAATTAAACAAAATCACTTAAAATTATTTTTCTATTTAAATTAAGTATAATGTTTTCTCAGAGTAGTTTAAATGATTTAAAAAAAATAAAATTTCATTAATAAAAATTATAAATACGAGAACGAGTTTTCGTAACTTATTCAGATTTAGAGAATACAATAATTTTAATTAAATTGATAAAAATGTTAAACTTATATTTTTAACAAAAAAAAAGAAGAAAAAGAATGTTCACGTATATTTTTCATAATAATTATTTACGTTGAATGAAAACAAGATCTATTTTGAAAAATAAAAAAAATTTGACAGTGGTGGGATTCGAACCCACGCCCTTTCGGACTGGTGCCTAAAACCAGCGCCTTAGACCGCTCGGCCACACTGCCTCAAAGTCCATTGCAACAAAATGGTGGGGGCTACATTGATAGACTGGGGGAGAAAGCTTCACTGAGAAAACTGGAGTATTGGACTAAACATCTGGAGGGACAAATCGTTGATATTTGAGAGTTAGCTATTGGATAACAATCTAAATGTTCAAATACACCATTGACAGATATTCGTGCCATTTCTCTTGGAGGGAAAATGAGTTTATAACAGAGGGACAAATTAACCATCTTGAGAAATCCCTTCCTTATCCGGCGCGAAATGAATAAATATGGCAACCTAACCCCTAAATTAAATACATAAAATGTCAGAAAAATAATTTCGCGCGCATCAGATCGTACACATTTTCTGCGCAACTTTTAACCCTCAGATATAATGGGAGAGAATATACAAGTAGATTTCCATTATCAATTCAAAATTTATTTTAGAAGGACTATTTAACTCTCTTCATAAGCAAAGGAAGCATACACTTTTTGAACCTCTAAATTTGACTCTCCAGTTTTCTCAGTGTTCTAATTCAATTTTCAATATCACTATTTGGTTTGATTTTTAATTATCAATCAACCTTGAAAATCTTTCAAATATCAATAAAATCATGAATAACTGAAAATGTGATAACCCATTAAAAAAAACTTGCTAAATCATGGCGGAAAAAGCTCATGACATAGCTTGTGAACTTATGAAAACATAGTATAAATTTTCTTATGTATGTGAGAAAAGTGTTTTAATAGTATTGTATAAATCATTTTCTAACTTAAATTCTATGTCTAAATTGTGTGTTTCAAGACAATGAACTATATCTTCAAACATTTATTAAACCTCCTATTGTTGGTCACATTTTATTTTAGCTTTATAATTGAAAAAAGAAATGACTGAATGGCATCATCCATATTTTCTTCTCATCATTTTTTATAGGCCTGGGGCGTAGTGGATCAAAAAGTATCATTATGATTTAGAAATTCAAATATTATTATGAATTAAAGTTTTAAATATACATTTTCAAAATATATAGAGAAATTGAATTGTATTAAATTTAAACTTTAAACATTTTTCAAAAGTTTTAAAATTATAGAGAATTATAGTAAATTTAAAAAGACGAATTATTAAGAAAATTCTTTGGTTATTGTTTTAATAAAGAAATATGTTTGGTACGTATTAACATTAAAATTATATGGCTGAAATAATTTTTAAATCAATAATTATATTAATTGATTTTACAGTAATCGTAAGTAAAAAAAATGTACAACCTGATGCACATGATCACATGATCAGTGGTAGTTATCGGAATATTTTTTTATATTTTCTATCAATATAATATAGTTAGATATTAAGTAAAAATCCAAACAACCGAAACATCATAAAAACTAAAAAAGAGGATATTCCTCGTTCTCTTGTAACCGTTTTGAAAAACTAATACCTAACATAAAATTAGAAACTGTAAAAAATTAGTTTGAAGTGTCAAATTTTGTTTGTCTATGACATCTTTTACAATAATGAATAAGTAAAAATGAAAATTATATAAATAAATAGAAATGATCCATTACGCCTCTATCACAAGACTAAAGAAGAATTACTGTTGGCTATATACAAGATAATGTCAAACGTATTTATTATAAAACTTGTGCTCAGATTTAAATTTTGGGTATCTCTCCAATTGGAATTGCAATTTTTATATTGTACTTTTCGTATTGAACCAATTATGTCGATATACCTTTTCCTTCCATAAGTAAATCTTGGCCATGCGATCCAATGAGTGTTTTTGATAAAAAAGGTGCAAAATCAACCATTATTTCGCGAAGAAGTGGACACACAGATCCCAAAGCTGTTTCCAACTGTTGAGTTAATGACGCTTCTCGTGTCGGCGTTGGAACTGGAATGTGATCAACAAGTCCTTTAATTGGTAAATCATCGGATCTTGGAGCTGACGGCGTCACCATTAAATGATCAGGAACTCGGACCACTGAAATTTCTGTTACTGGCTTTTCCCCTCGCTCTGCGTTGGAAAATGTTTCTCTGTCAATAACCTCTCCCTCACTGTCAGCAAGTTCACCTGCAAAAAGTCGGTTGGTTAGTTTTACTTAACAATTTACTGTCGGAATTTTAATTTTCGACAGCAACTCACCGTGAGAACGCGAGATGTTATTAACGTTTCTAGTTCCATTTCTTTGATTTGTTATTGGCACTGTGTCTCCGTCCTCGTTCAAGTTCACATCAGTCCAAGCTTCCTCGGATGAATTTTGCTTGTTTTCGTTATCGGTCGTCACTTCTGATAGACTGGGGTCGCCAGTAATGTTACTTCGATGTCCGTTTTCTTCACTCGAATCGTTGCTCTAAAGAAAGGTAGAACACATACTTGTAAAGATAATTAATTAACATATGCAAATTTATCGGTGTGCCTTGTACTTTTGTCAAAACATTCTTCTACTGAAAGAAAAGTACGCACTATATTCAGTTTTGAGAAAAGTGTCACTCAATCAGAAATTAAAGAAAATAAGTGTCAAAGAAATGGGATTTTAATTTTTCTTTTGGATAAATGAAAATGAAAATGAAAATGAAAATGAAAATGAAAATGAAAATGAAAATTTTCAGTTAAACTTTAATGAAGAGTAAGAAGTAATTTTTTTATAATATAATAAAAAGAATTGTCTTGTGGAAAAAAGGGAAAAAAATAAAATAAACTGTAAATAGAAAATAATTTTATATATATTCTTCAAGTATTATTATTATTATCCCGGTAAGAAGAGGTTGATTAAAATAGATTAAAATGTATACAAATATCGCTAAATTCTGAATCATTTCAATGCCAAACTTATGTCATTTTTGAACTTCCATGTTTTAATTCCTTTAAAGATAATTCATCTGCACACATTTATATTCTATTTAATTCGGTATACATTTTACTTCTTATTGGGTAATTAGAATTGAAAACAATTTTATTCTGTTTAATACCATAAAATTTGTAATCATTAGAATTTCATTTATGACTTAAATATTGCTGACACTTTAATTCGTTTTAATGAAAAGGTAATAAAATGCATTAAAATGAGTACATATATGGTCAAAATTCAATAGGCTTTTAATGCCAAACCAATGTCATTTTTGAAATTTTGTGTAAACATTTCAATCTATTTTAATCAACCTCTTCTTACCGGGATATTAACAACATCTATAACTAATATTAAATTGGAAGTAAAGAAGGAAATTTTTCCCCAAAAACTAGTTCTACTTTTGTACTAAAAATATTGACCAACTGCACTTGTACGTTTTACAATCAAGTGACAATTCCCCGTAGTTTTTGTCATATGTATGTAAAATGTCCATATGTATATTCTATGAAAATAAATACGTTTTACCATGCAATATTATACAACGCTATAGAAAGGCAATCTCGTGAAATATACATAAAATCGATTAAACTAAGCCTTCCAATATAAGCTTTTCTAGGAAAAATATAAATCTAGAAAAGAGAAAAGTTTTATAAAATGAGAGAAATGCTGAATATATACCGAGTGAGAGGAATATTAAACATATAAGACGTGAAATAAATAATTTATAATTATCGAATTTAACAAGATAATCTATTACCTGATCAGAGAGATAAAGAGGATTCCACTTTCGAAGCTGTTATATATTTTTTCTATATTCTTTATAAATTCGGTCACGTAATTTTTAAATTTCTTTTTAAATTTTGCATTATGTCTTTTGTAAAATGTATTTAAGATCATACTAATTTTTATTGAATTTTGTAAAATAATTGACAGAAAAATAATGTTGAAAATGTAATAGGTAAAATTTGGTTTATCCACCGCAACCTTAGGAAAAGTTACCTGCGGATTTCGGGGCAGAAGTTCGGATCCCGCAGAAGTGCCAAGAGAGGTTTCTGTCGAGGTGTAATCTTCGCGAATATTCCGTGGCCTAGGACCAGCCTTCAGAACCAGTAGTTAGTTTATATATAGCAATACAAGCAAAGAGGAGATTAAGATTGAAAGTATAAGAAAAAATGTGTGCATGCTGCAAAACTAGAGAGCAGTTATATATTAGGTATCATTTAAAAAGCTCTGCTAATAGGTTAATAAGATTTTATTAACAAAATATTAAATATCACCATTACATATTTTTCAAAATTATTACCTTTTTCTTTTTTTACATTTAAATGCGAGGTTTAAAAAACTTTACCTTCTTTTAACTATATTTTACTTACTACACTACTGATTGGTACTTTACACAAATGAGAATACTTTTGCAATTGAATTTTTAAATTAATTTACTTAGGAACCATTTGTTCCTAGAAATCTCAGTTTTGATAGGAAAAGTGGAGAACCTTCATTTGCCTATAATAATATGTTCAAGCACTGTCAAAGTTAAGCGCATTGTTATAATGTAAAAGCTACAAGCAGTTACTTGATATTTTCGTAAAAATTTATTTAATATTCATGCAGACTCTGTTTAAGCGACTAGACTCTTTAGACCAAGAAAATTGCCAACTCAGACAGAGGGTTGAAAAAAGATGCACAAACGATGTATGATATACGCAAATTATACTTTTTTACAAACTCTAACTTTGCTTGATGATGATAATAATAATAATTTAATTTTTCAATATTATTAGTTGTCCAAATATCTACTTTGTTTTCTTAAAAAATATTATTTTATTTGCTAGCTAGAAGAATGGAGAAAAATAAAGTTTTACGTTTACCTTTGTCGAGGGGGGGCCGGAGGAAGGAACGTCGTGATCAGCCAAAATTGATGAATTATTTTCGTCGACTACTATAACCTCATACTCGCCATCGTCTTGTGACTCCGAATGGCTTACTCGACCACTTCCTGAAATGCAGAATAAAGGAGGTTACTTAAATCGTGATTCTTTGCCCGAACAACATCACACTCGCAGTAATCACGCCAGCATCGCAGAGTTCATGCGAACATAAATGAACGTTCTTAAACAATATTTAAGGAAATAATGTTAAATACCATTTAACGCGCACGTCGCTCATAACAAGTCGTGCAAAATGATAATTTCATGGCATTTCCTTTAAAATTATATTCGAAAGTAGAAACTACCCTTTGGTAGAAAAAATAATGTTATTAATCTCATGAAAACAATGCGCCGCGGGATATTCAGTGTGCAGGGCTCGAATCAGTTCAAGTACTTATTTCAAAATATACGGACTTTACGGACCAATTATTACTGACAAAAATATAACCAGTCCGAGTCAAATAAGAGAACATTTTACTTAAAACTAGAAATTCAATTTTTCACAACTATCTTCGACTCAGAGTGATCGATTTCTTCATGTTTTATAATAATTAAAGATGACCGAGTGATAAAATCATTTACAATTCAATTATTATTCACAAGAATTTTTAACTAAAATTCTTCTTTAAATCTATTATTTTTAATAATTTTCAAATTTTTATTATTTTTAATAGTATTTTTTATTATTATCTATGAAAATAATTGAATTCCTAAAAAGAATTTTATTATTTATGAAAATAATTAAATGTGAATACCTATGAATTCCTGTGAAATTTTTATTATTTTTTGAAAATAATTAAAAGTTTGTGTAGAATTTTATTAAATTTTTTTTTAAATAATTGAATTCTTTTGGAAAATTTTATGAAAATAGTAGGGGAGAGTGGTCCTAAGTTGGCCACCCTGCATTTCTCAGAGATGGTATACTGGACGAATCTATAATTTTGTGGTATGATATATTGATAAACCATGATATAATTTATGGACCTAATTATAATCTAAGATTCTTCTAGGCATTGTGAAGACAATAATATTGTTTACGACCAAAAAAATTTAATTTTTCTTGTTTTTTCGAGAGCAGCTACAAGAGATAAATAATTAAAAATTTCTAAATGAGTGTGTGCGCTAGTTCCTTTATTTAATAAAATAATGCTTCATTTTCTAATCAAAAATAGTTAAATAATGCGTTTTTATTCTCCTAAATGTATCAAATTTGTAAAATTTCTGCGTAATTGAAAAGAATATGCATTTCTTCCTTATACACCAGCGAAAAAAAGTGGTGGCCAACTTAGGACCACTCTCCCCTAAATATTGAAAATAATTGAATTTCTGCAATCATTTGTAATTTTTCTAAAATTCTCCAAATTATGTCGTAAAATTTACGAATTTTTCATCCTTTTTCAATGAAATTACGGACTTTATGGACTTGTTATAAAAAAACGGACTTTTACGGACTTGAAGCAAAGTTACAGACCTATAGTTCGAGCCCTGAGTGTAGGATGCGAAACAAAACCTTGTGGTGGAGGAGTTTATAAAAATAAAAAGAAAACTAAAGGTCAATGGGCAAAGGCAACATTTGGAAAAACGGAGAGAACTGAAGAGAAAGAAATGAAAATGAAGTAGTTTGAGAATATCTGCCCTTCATTTGTTTGAAATTTAAATAATTTCTGTTAATTCTTATTTAGAAATGTTATTCACTCATGCACAAACTAAATGAAAAATTAGAAGACAATGCAAAGCAAAAGTAGAAAAAACGTGTCATGCACTCAGAGAGGAATTACTATAGAATAAACAAAAGCAAGAGCTGAATATTTGCAAGCCTTTACAATATTGTTGGAAATGAAATTCGGCCAATGAGGTTTTGTTAAATTGAAAGATTTTCAAAGATTTTGACAAATGAATTTTTTCAAATGCATGCATCACATGCGAGCATGTGATTGTGATTTATTGCTATTGGTAATAATTTTGAATTGCCGCCCGTCAATATCATTGCAGCGGTATTAATATGCTTGAAAGGTGTTGTCGGACGTCACATAAATCACAATAGAGACTATAGAGAGATGCATAAAGCGATAATGTTTCAAAGAGGACGTGTGTAATAATAATCAAGCTACCGCTATAAAACGATTGCAAGCACGCATGCTGAATGTAATGGTCAGAACTGTAATTTGCAAACACTTGTAATGGGGTGGAAGAATTACGGCTCTGAAACCAAGACATTCGGTGAAAGAAACAAAACGAGCCATTAATTACCTTGCAGACCAACACCAGAATTATTATGATAGACATTTCGGGGCTGATCGATATGGTTTTGAAGCGCGTGATGGTGATTGTTGTTATTGTGGTGATGATAGTGATACCGATGGTAGTTAAAGTTATTTGGATAATGGTTGTGATGGTTATTATGATGGTTCGAGAGACAATAGTTGGAAAGTTGGCGATTGTTAGGGTGCCTGGCAGCTGGTAGCGGGTGCTGGTGGTGGTGCTGGCTGATGTGGTGGTTGGCATTGGCATTGGCATTGACATTGGCATTGGCATTGGCGTTGGGGTGTGACCCCGGAAGGAACTGAGGGTGTACGTGGTGAGACCATTGTGGAAATAGAGGCCGCCCGTCTCCACCACCATTTCCATCCGCTGTGGAACGATATTTTACTACATATAAATACGCATTTCAACCAATTTCCCATCATTATCAATACATTTTTCCATTTCCATCCAAAGCCAACATTTCTTCCATTTATTTTTTCCATTTTCAAACCAACATTTTGACGAGTATTTGTTATTTTTTTTAAATTAAAAAATTCCAACAGTTAAAATTGAACCAAGCCAATTTGCGAAATTCTTTTAATACAAAAGTAGCGGACAAGAATGGTTCCCATCAACTTGAGAAAAACTATTTATGACAGGTAGAGGTATGTTAATTGTATATATATATATATATATATATTGATTTTTATTCCTTATTCAATGTTAATTAAATTAATGAATATATGAGGTAGATGAATGTTAAAGATGCAGAACCATTGATAATAATTTGGTATAACTTCTTTGAAAATTTTTAAGTTGATCAAAAATCTATTCAGAAATTCTCTAATAAACTCTCTTATATAATCCTTTAATACGAAATAAAGTTTGTTAAGAACAAAGAACTTTGAGACCTTAGTAAAGGATTAAATATATTACATGTACCTAGATGAGAATGGAAGAAAATTCGAAGCAAAATCAATCAATTGCAATAAAGACGAGATGACAATGAAATATAAATTGAATTTGAAACCTGGAGAACAGTGGTGCAATATGAACATATTTTGCTAACATCAAAACTCTCACTGTCAGATACAAAGTAAGAGATATCAAATTATCTATTACCAGTGCAACCACACATGCTTTCTAGAGGGTGGTATATGTATATCAATGTGCTATCATATCGTCTTCCCAATGCTGGTTATATAACTGTTGGTGCGAGACATTTTTTTGCATAATCAGAACAAAATCTAGAAAAGTACACTATAAGTTTCGTTCAACCAGCATAAATCCTGTTACACTTTTTTATTCAATAAGAATAATATTTTTATTTCTTTAACACATTTTCTTATAAATATGTATTGATATTTACTATTTACGAGTATCATTATTGTTTCTCGAGCTTTTTTTAAGGAATAAACATTAATCAAGTAAAACGCAAGTAGCAGGTAACTTTCCTATCTATTTCACTGAAATCTACTCTAAAAGTTAAAAAAAAAAAAAAAAAAAAAAAAAAAAAAAACATACTCTCAGAATTAATCACAAAGGATAAATTCTACTTGTTAATTTCATTTAATTAAAATTGTAATAATTATAATGTTCAGGCCACAAGAATTTCAGCAAAAAAAATCCTCCTATATAATAATTATTGTTTAATTTTTTATTATAAATAAATGTCATTAGCACTTCTTTTTGTACATTTTTAAATACGTATAAGTATTACCTCATTAATAATGGATAAATAAAGTATAATAAAATTTCAAGTCGGTACTTGTTTGAAACACTAATACATATTGTTAAACTTATTAAAATATTTCTCTAGTAACATTCTATATTTCCATTATAGTCTTGATCATAAAGACTAAGCATCTATTGGTACCGCAAAACATGCGTTTAAAATTACCTAAATCATGCTTCCTGAATTCTTTTTTTTTCTTTTTTTCTCTTTTTTAAATGTAGGCAAAAGTAATGTCATTAATCTCATCAGAGGATGAAAATAAAATCAATCGTGATGGCTGAAATTTCTCATCATAATCATAATATCTGACATGTAAGAGTTTTGACAATTTAAATGGATTTCAAATAAATATTTACTTTAATTACAAACCATCACTTTCTTTACGTCTGTAAATTTTATTTTTCATCTTGTTTCTTATATATACAATATATAATCAGAAATTTTATTTTAACTACATTACATAGTAGTTAGTGTGCCACAAAGTATAGGTATATACTTTGCTGATCAATTCTGGATTGAGTAAAAAATCTTTTTTATTTTGCAAGAAAAAAGAAATTATTTACTGAAATCTTACCTGTTGGACTTGCAGGTCGAAGATTTGTCCCATTTGTTTGAATCATTTTTACAGGACTAGGTGGTCGCGGTGTCACTGGTGGTTCCAAAATATCTCGATACTTTGAAACCATTAATACAGAGATGAAGTAAACTATAGACAGAGACAGAAACTGTGCCTGCTTGGTTTCTTCCTGCAATCGATGAAAAAAGAGGAAAAAATAGTCATTAATATTTCCAAGTTGAGATTTATTTCATTGAATCATTGAAACACTTACGACATCTCTGTAAACTACTGCTCGCAATCGATTGACGTCCATGTCCTGAAGAAGTTTCTCTGGATCCTTGACAGGACTCAATTGACTCGCTAAATTATCCACGATATTCTAGAAAATTGAATGTTGACTAAGTCTGACAGGACAGCAAGTAGTGGAACTTTAATAATAACTATAGGACTCCCTAAAATACACACCTTTGGTGACATTTGAATTCCTCGAATAAGTGATTGTATGTGCTGTGATTTATTACTAGAACCAATCTGTCGACCTAACATGCTGTACGTTCTGCCACGCTCTTTACACTCTAAGCAGTTTCTAACGGCACATGTACAGACCTAAACAAGCAGTTTAATCGACGATTAAAAACTAACACTTGAAAACGTGACTGTTAATCGACGATTAATCAGGACTTGAAAATTATTCTAAATCTAGGATAGGACGAAAATATAAAATAAATAACTATCCAGACGCAGAAAATATAATTCAAAATATTTACATTAAACTATTGACTTTCTTGAGAATCGGTGTAAAAACCTTGTTTCTCGACTAAACTACTGAAATAAAGAGTGTGAATAAAGAGTATTAATAAAGTGCATTTTTGCAATTTGTTATTATTGAATGTGAAGAAAATTCCATGAATTTGACACACAGTAATGCGTGCCAATAGTTTTCCGATACATTTCAAGTATTTACGTAAATGAGCGATTCCAGGTGAAGTGATTTGGGTAAAACAATTTTTTCTGTGGACATTTGTATTTCCTATAGAAAGTAATTTTTGGTAAAAATATAAATAATCAATTAGTCCAAAAAATTACCTGGAATCGCTCAAATTACATACTTTTAAAAGTAAATTTTCAAAAATTATTTCTTTTCTTCTAAAGGTCTATTGAATTTAAAGCCGTTCTTGTCAAAAGTTGAAGACATTTAGATGAAAATCAATATATTAATTAGGTTGAAAAATGAAAAAATAACACAAACCAGACGCAGACACTGTCTCAAAATTCCACCACTGGACATATTTTTGTCAGCTTCCAAATCAGCAAAGTTCAACGAACTCGCAAAAATAAGTACATCAGCCATATTGACTAGCCTTTGAAGAAAAGATACTGCCACTTCGATTGGCATACCCTGAGTTGGTTCAATTACATCCAGTTCGCTCTGCAATTTTGTTAGACTCAAATTAGTTGTAATTACAATATCAAAAACTTTCAGTTAATAATTCGGTACTTACGTTTGGTGAAGTTGCAGAAGCTAAAAGAGGCAACAACCCACCGCAGGCCATAATAAGATTGTCAGAAAGTTGAGAGATCAGATGCACCGTGTTAACCACAAATATCGCATTGTCGCTACTGTTGACAAAGTCGAGAACTGATTTGGTCGAATGACTGAAAATTAATTTATAATTTATAATTTATATACATTAGGCTCCCGGAAAAGGGAAATTAAAAATAAGCTAATAATGCCAAAATATGTAATTAAAATTTTGTTGCCATATATACGAAAAAAGAAGTGTGTAGAATAATAAGTGACTCACCTCCTCCAAACCTGAATATCAGTTTCGAGTGAAAATAAAACGTCCGATAATAGTCTTTGATGTATATAAGACCACTTGAATTCTGGTATCCTGAAAGGCGGTCGCGTTGGCCCTGGACTGAACATGGGTCTCGTGGAAGGATTTGTTGCTTGTCTTGCAGCAGCTGCTGCCACTGCGGCTGCTGCTACTGCTCTATTTGAATCTGCCAAAAAACTTTCTTCAATACCGTATTGACAAAAACTACAGCAAGTTTAAATCTAATAACATAGTTTCATACTGTTCTGCACTTCTGAAGTGAGTACAAATTATATTATACAATTATTTTTATATAGTTTCATGGTCAATTGGAATTATAAAGTTTACTGAAATAATTCCATCTGTCGTGAAATTATTTTTGAAACCCATTTACTGTGTCAAGTGAGGGACAGACAAAACTTTCATTTTTTCCCTGACTGTAAAAAAATATTCTGATTCACTCGCAAAATGATTAGATACACAAAAAAATCTTCTATTACATTTATTTACGAATTTTTTTAACTGAATAATTATTCAAAACATGCATAACTACTTTTTTAAAGAAATATTTAATCATTATTATTTTTCCATAGGAATTAAGATTTTCAAAAAAAATTCAAATACAATAGCATATAAGAATATTATTATAAAACATGAAGATATCGATCAATCCGAGTCATCGCTTTCTTCATGTTTTATATAATAATTAAAACTTGCTAATTTGTTACTATAAGTTCTTTAAAATTTATTTTCATCATTTCGATTATTCATTACTAGAATTTTCAACTAAAATTTTTCTTTAAATCAATTTTTTAAAAATATTTTTTGAAAAAGTTCTTTGAGAATTTTCAAATCTCCTTTTGTTTGCAATTTAATTTTACGAAATTACGATTATTTTGATATTCTTCAATTAATCAATATTCAATAAATCAAATTTTTTTAGAAAATTCTACGAGAATTCAATTATTCAAATACAAAAATAAATATTTTATTATATTGAATGTTTCTTAAAATTGAATTTTCATAAAGAATTTTATCAACAAATTTTTAAATAATTAAATTCTCTTGACAAATTTTAATAAAATTTTTAAGAATAATTTCATTTTTCGAGAAATTTGATGAAAATTGTATTAAAAATAATTGAAATTTTGCCAAGAATTTTATTAAAATTTTTAAACATAATTCAATTTCTGCGAAGAATTATATTAGGTACTTTTTAAAATAATTGCATTCTTAAGACGAATTTTATTAAAATTTCTTTTTAAATAATTGAGTTCTTTTGTGAGATTTTATTGAAATAGTAGACATTGAAAATAATTGAATTTTGACGAATTTTTGAAATTAATTAAATTTCTATGAAGAATTTTATTAAAATTATTTTGAAAAAAATTGAATTGTTTCAAAGAATTTCAAAAAAATTTTTGATAATAATTTAATTTTTTGAAGAAATTTAATTAAAATTGTATTGAAAGTAATACTTAAATTTTCATAAATAAATTGTAGCGAAGGTTTTTAAAATAATAATTGAATTTCTTTGATAAATTTTAATAAAATTTTTAAGAACATTTTTCAAAGAATTCCATTAAAATTATATTAAAAGTAATTGAATGTCTGCAATGAGTTTTATTATTTATGAAAATAATGAATTGTTTGCCTAGAATTTTATTACAATTTTTTTTAACTAATTGAATTCTTTTGGTGTTTTTTTTTTATTAAAGTAGTACCTATATGTATATTAAAATTAATTGAATTGAAGGAAAATCTTTGAAATAATTAAAATTTTTCCAAGTATTTGATTAAAATTTTTAGAAAATAATTGAATTTTTGAAAAGAATTTTACTACTTTTGAAAATACATAATTGAATTTCTGCAAGCATTTGTAATTTCTTGAAAATTCAATTTGTTTTAGTGTTTTTAATAATCAATTAAATATATATTAGAAAAATTAACTAATTTCAGAAGAATTTTAGATATCGAAATTTTTTAAAATTTCCAATTAAATTCATTTAAAATTGAAATTTTACAAAATTTCAAATTAAAATCTTTTCAAGTTGATCTATTTATGAAAATTGTAAACGTAACTTTTTTAAAATTCAATTAATTTTGAAATAATTATGTAAGATTAGATTTCAAGAATAAATTTTACAAAATACCAATTTTCCAGGATTTCGATCAAAATTCGCTGACTTTTTCATGTTTTTTTCAAGGTTTATAAAATTCCCTGACATTTCCAAGTTTTCCAGGTTGCGTGGCAATTTATTATTTATTAAAGTTTATTTAAGTAAGAAAACTACTTGAATTATTGAATAGCAACTATTTGAATAAATACTAACCGAATTGATTTGGATCGACTTGCGTGGAAGTCGAGGCACTCCTTGGTCGTTTCTGAGGCGATTGCGATTTGTGGGACGCTGACAGGGCGGAGTGTTCACTAGCAGCAGATTCTAAATTTTCCTCGGAAATTTGTATATTCGATAAACTCGTTTTTCGTTTGACGTGTTCCTCGTGTGGTGAACTTGAGCCATTTGGTAACGGATTGTCTCTTGCAATCACATTAGAACTAACGTTTTCAGGCACACCGTCTTGTAAACTTGTAGTTACATCATCACAGACTGTAGGTACTGTTGGAATTTGCTGCGTTGAATTTGGCACTTGCATCACATTATCTACACAAGTTTGAACATTGCTATTTTTACAAACACTATCCGTTACTTCCTCGTCGTTAGTCCTCACTGGAAGGTTCGCATTATCACTTAAGCTAGTAGAAATATTGGACGGCTCGCTTGATTCTGCTTTGTTTGACTCTTCCTCGAGATCCTCCTTCTTGCTACTATCTATAACAACACTTTCACCCTCGTCTCTAATTAACGCACTATTTTCTAATATTTCCAATTCTTTAATCTCTACTTGAGAGTTTTCGGCGCTTTTCACTACGCTAGTTGAGCAATTGAGACTTGTTTCCGAACACTCTTCCTTCTTCTGTTCAACCTCTTCTTTCTCTTCCTTCTCTTGGTTCGTTTCAGTTGACGTTTCATTTGAAATTGTTTCCTCTACAAATTCTTCTTCTTCTTCTTCTTCTACTTCTTCTTCTTTTTTTTCCTCTTTACTTTCGTGAGTTGCTTCTTTGACAGTGGACTCTTGATCTACTGTCAAACCGGCATCCTCTTGAGACTCCAACGCCGAGTTGACTTCTTCACTGACTACTTCGCTTTCTTCATTTAATTCCTTCGGCGCTAACTTTTCAGGCTGTTCTGTATTTTCTTTCTCTATGACACTTTTGTCTGAAATTTCCTGTTCTTCCTTCTCGTTTTCGGGAGTTTTCTCTTGATCCTCTTCTCTTGCTTCTTTCTCCTCTGTTGTATCTTCTGTTTCAGAAATGCTGTTATCGTTTTCTTCAGCTTCTGCTTCTCTCCCTTCTGTGACTTGAATTTTCTCTTTTTCCTTCTTGTCCTCGGCATCTTCGAAAGGAGAAACAGATGTTGTGTCGTCGGTGTCCTTTGTCGTGGAGGATACATCGGCATCTTGGGTTTGACTGGTTGTTTCCTTATCCTTAGTCAGAGTTTCATGTATCATCGAGTCTGGACTGGAGCTTTCTACTTTTTCACTGGAGCATTCGGTTGAGGTTTCTGTGACACTGACCTCTTGAGTTGTCGTCGTCGTCGTCGTCGTCGTCGTCACTGGCGAAACCTGACCACTTTGATTCTCCGAGATTGCCAGAGTCTCTACGTGGTTCAGTCGAGCCGTTGTCGGTGTTTCCGGTTTGTCGCTGAGTCTAGAATCAAGGGAAACAACTTCACTGGATTGTTGGGTGTCGACCGTTTCACTACGTGATTTGACGAGTGCAGGACTTCCGTCGCTCTCTGTGTTGTCTATTGAATTTAAATCACAGCTGCACGATTCCTCTAATCGATCATTACTTTCTGGGGGCTCGAATTCCTAAAAAGGAATACCAATATATTATGTCGTCTTTCCATGTAAGCAGTGCGTGTGTGCATTTAATTTTGACTACTTACATTCACATGCTGTATTTCCAACTGTTGCTGATTAACCCACGTTGTTGGTTTCGTGTAGCCATTCGTCACTGGATGGTGTTGGTCCCAACCTGAAATTGTGCTTATTGGCCTCTGTTGTCTCAATTCGGGATCCGTTATATTGTCGCAACGTTGCCTCTCATAATGTTCGTACATTTGAGCAAATTGGAGTTTAAATTCTTCGTAGGAAACCTATAAACAATTATTAAACAATTTCTCAGATTGCAAAAGAACAAAAGAGAAATATTTCCTCTTTATTAATTAATTTGATTTGATTTGATTGCTTACTTTGGAATGAACAATGGCCAGAGTGTCGACCCAAACGCGCCATCCTCCGTATTCATATTTGATGGCGTGATGAAGGAGCATTCGAAACAAGGAGTACACCATGTCTGATATTTTCTGCTCTTCTGTATTTTTCGGATGAATGTAAGCCATCGCTATCAGCCACTCTTGCCACACTGACATTTGTAAGACGGTTCGTCGATTTTCTCGATTATTGTTGCAAAGAAGCGTCATATCAGAGAGAAACAGTTTCTTCACATCCAGCAGTTGTTCAGTTCGCTTCGATTGCCGAATTAATGTTGCCACTACTTTGAGAATGTCTGGAATTTTGTTTGTAAATTAAATCTTCTGACTCGTATGAAAATAAAACTTACAACTTGAAGTAAGAGTTATGACTCACTTGCACTCTCTATTCGATGATGTGATTCTGGCTCCGGATGCCTCGTATACAATATTTGTTGACTAATATTGTCTGTCAGGATCTGCAATTTATTAATAACGAAAAATGAAGATTTTCATGTCAAAATGAAAAGCAACAAGAGATAGTTACCTCGTATAAAACATTGTACGTTGGTAAAGAAAGCGTCTCTTCATTCAACATTAATCTTTCCGCAAGAAGTGAGTGCAAATTGTACGGAATCATCACATCGTATTTTCTTCTAGAATTTAAGGAATTATATAATTACACATGCGAATTGAAATTAAAAGCAAATTTGAATATAAAAATCTTACTTGTGAGTGCTGCGACTAAGAAAGAAACCTAATAACTTGAGTGCTTGAAGTCGTATTAATTGACTTTCTGCTGCCAGTAGCTTAAAGACTGTCCTGACACCGTGTTTGGAATCGAAAGCTGGCACTAGAGACGAAGGATATTCAGAAACCATTGTAATAAGCATTTGCAAAACATCGTGCAGATTTTCATCCTGAAAAATTTAATACGAGTTGACAAGTTTATGATACATGAAATTGAATATTTAAATTTGAAAAAAAATTCACCTCGTGCATTGTCGTGAGATAATTGAGAACAGTTTGAATTTCATCCTCTTTCACACCATGTCCTATCATAATGAGTTGCTTCAGAAATAACAGGATGTACGATCGTATTGTTAAAATATCCTTTTGTGGTGGTCGTGTTCCATCTTGAGGAATAGTAAATTTATGAGATTAGTTTAACTTGTTGAAATTTTTTAGAAATTATGCAAGATTACTTATTATTTGTGGCCAAAAAACTGGTTTTTGTAAGTTAGTTCTTGCAAAAATACCTTTCTTTACTAAAATTCTGGTATCCAAGAGCTTTTTCATCAAGTTTTAGAATTGATTAAATTGAAAATTTGTGAGAAGGTTTTAATGCACGGTTTCTAAAATTTAAAATATCAACTAAATTTGGATAACCAAATTAAAGTAAAAGTAATTGAAAATTGTATTTATTTTTAAAAAAAAACTTAAAATGTGAAATTTAGATTTTGTCATAAATTAATGAGAAATTTCTCAAATTGAAAATATTTTCTACTTGAAATTGCTGTAAATAAAATAAGGTCATTAATAAGGTTTAAACTTAAAAAAAATAATCTCTGAATAAGATTAAATTGATTAATTTTGTTGGAAAACATGAATAAAGTTAATTAGCCGTTGAAAGGGTAATTGGGAAGATATTGATGAATGTTTAAACTGGCGAAATTGAAATGAAATGAAATGAAATGAAATGAAAGGAAAGGAAAGGAACTTACCGAGTCCTTTTGGAGTAATGCCACTCTTGGACCTTGGATTAACAACCCAGTAGTAGTATTTGAGGGAGTGAACAGTCTGCATAACCGTGGACACTCGCCTCACATTCGAATAGATTTGAGTGTCGCTAAGGAATTCCGTAGCAAGGTAAGAGTAGAGTCGAATTTGGACTGGAGCTGGAGTGTATATCCACAAAGCCGGGTTAAAGAGGACGTGATCCAACAGCTGCCATGTTAGGAATGAAAAATAAACCATCTACATCACCATGGGTCTGCCTGTTCTTCGGACACACCAATCTACCCGACTTTATTCGAGCTTAGTCTTATATTTCATTACTGACGAGTCTCTCAATTTATTAAATTAAACTGCTGTCATCATTCTAAGCCTTTTCAAACTAAATATCATATTGAAGAGGAGCATGAATTCTCCATTTCCAATTTCAATACTTAATAGATGCATTTCATCCAATTTTGTCAAATTTTAATCACTTTCAATTTGACCCAATTTTTATAAAACATTCATTTATCTCAATAATTCTTGTGAAACTGAGTAATTTCATTTTTTTAGCTTCGAGTAATCGCATAATCTAAATTTCATTTGCACGAATTATCGATATAATTATGAAATTTCCATCAAACAGAACGATGACCATTTGATATAATCAATGTTTGACATCCGATAAAACCATTTAAATGCGAGTTTTAAAATTAACCAATAATAATTTTTTCCTATTATGTTTCATTGATGATAGGTCAAATAAAAGTTGCAAGTAATTAAAATTCTAGTAAGCTGTTATTCTCAGTTTTTGCATAATCTTTGGGTAAAGAATAGATTTTGTAGTGGGAATGTATGTACTTTCTACATTGGCTCGAAATAAATGAGTAAACTTTTTTCTCTTTGCTTTCTTGTAACTGACGAGTTTACTATTTTATTTCGTTTAAAACAAAAAAATGTCATCAACTACTCCCATAACTTTTAATTTGTATTTTTGATTAAAGATTTTATATTTCTTATTTTGCACTGTACTTACTTTATACCATTTGGCATGCGTTGATGCAAAGGCAAATATTTCATTGAACAAGTTTATAGTGGACTAAAATAAAAAAAAGGTACGAAAATTGTCGACAAAACAGAATAATTAAATTACGTTAAATTAGAGAGTAAACAATATGAAAAAAAAAAATTGTATTTCAATAAGGTGAATGTATAAGTATACATTTTTTTACTTTTATATACCTATTTATGTTTATCATTCTTTTGAGAAAGCAAGCATAAAACGCGTGAAAATGCAACAAAATATGAGAAAGAAATATCGCCAAAAATATTGAAGAAGCTTAAAAAGTCGGTAGATTGCATGCAGTCCAACCATAGCGGAACTTAAAAATTACAGTAATTAATAATAAAAATGTGCAGCACTGTTCTTTGGCATATTGTGCACGTATATTAAAATTTGCAGACGTAAAACAATAGTAATATTGAATAAACATTTTTTTAATATTCCTGAGGTTTGGAATCAATGTATTTTCATTTATAAAGTAGGAAAAAATTTAAAAATTATTAAAATAAATGTATATTTCTTAAAATGAAAAACGAATTGATTAATCAAGAATATTATGAAACGTTTTATACTAAAATATCAAACAGCAACGAAATAATCATTCAAAATTTCCAAGACTTATTGTTAACTGCAATTATTATTGATATATGACAGCAACATTCAATAAACATGAAAACTTGAGAGTTAAAAAGCTGCGTTTGCGAAAATAATTTTATAAATGCAATAATGTTTATAATTACTTTTTATTTTACGAAATGAATGATTAATATTTATATTTATTTTTTTGTTATTGTTTTAGTTGTAAATTATTATATCAATATTGTGACAAAAGTTTACCTGTTTCAACAGCAAATCACTATTCGCACTGAGACACGTAACAAGGTGTTTCGTAAGCTCCAAAAACGAAGTGAGAACATCTATCGTCAAATGCTCTCTGCTCGCTCTTTGAAGCATGTAACTAATTACAGCAAATCCTCTGTTTAAAACCATTTGCTGTTGAACTGTTTGTGAACTTTCCATCATGTCACAAATGAACCCCAATAATTTCGAACTGGGAACAAAACAAATTCATTGTTGGAATTTCTGTATCAATTGATCAAAAAGTTACAAAGCAAAATTTCGCACATTTACTTTTTCAAAGGATTCTACTTTTCATTTTGCGAATAAAACTTGACTCAGTTATAAATTTCAGTATTTTAAACTTTTGTTTATTAATAAGAAAAGTCTTATTAATTTTTTCACTAAAGACTTGATCGATCAGACTTAATTAATACTACTACAATGAATATAAAGTTTAAAATTACCATAAGGCTGGATCCCTTTGAATATCATTTGGAGAAACACAATCGTAAGGCATGTCCAATTGTGAAAATAAAGGAAAAAGCACCTGGATTCCTCCAATTGAGTTCAGCGTACTGTGTATGGAATGTGTGATAACAGCTTTGACGTCCTGCAATAAAATAAATATATCAGTACACAAGCGCAAGTTTTCATAAATATTTATATTTAACGAATTTCTGAAATTCCTCTACTTTTTCTACTTTTTTCACATAAATTAACATTTCCATTTCGTTGGTTCCTCTCGTTTCTGAAAAAGGAGAAAGATTTAATCAAAGAATAATAAATGGAAAAATTTCGTACCTGCAACATCAAGGCGTGTGGAGTATGTACAAAGTAAGAAATGTTTCCTTTCGGTGCACTCTGCAGACACAGTTGCGAGTCCGTCGCTACTGGATTATACATGAACACAATTGCATTGGACAGCTTCCCATCATAAAGCACCTAGGAAAATAGAAAAAAATTCTCTTCATATTTGACGATGCAATTTTTTTATCTACATTTTCTACTTCATTGTCTACGAATTTACTTTATATTACATTCAAAGTAAATAACTTGACTTTTTCTGCTTTTTCTGCTTCAAACACAATAATGCATTTGCAATATGCAAAATAAACATTCATAGAAATTTCAGAATTACACTGTCAACAACGGTATTTAAACAAGTATTCAATTCGTATTTACTCTGAGAAAAAGAAACATGCCCGTTTTATGTCCGGACGAGAATGGTTCCTGTCTAAATAATTTTCTTTTTTCAATTAAATGCTCTCTGGACATGAATCTGTAATGCCCAAGACACTATTGAGTTCTTTTAAGACACGAATGAATCGTGTCCGGAAAGTAAAGTCCACTTGAATGTAATTTTTACTTTTAGACAAGAACCATTCCTGTCCGGATGTTACATCGTCATGTTTCTTTTTCTCATTTTCACCACTTTATTACATAAAATCCACAGTATAAACATTAAATATAGAGGTACAGAAAATTAATGTTTTTTTAGATTGATTTTTTTTCAAATTTCAAGAAAGATTATTCTTTCCTACCATGCATGCTAGTTCAATAATGAAAAAAAGCGTTTGAAAGCACAACTTGACATATAAAGCATGCTGAAATTATGTCAAAAGTGAAAATGAAACTACTAACAAGCTTTCTAAACACAAATGCATGATGGGGCGGACTATACATAGTGCATTTAAACAGGAATAAAATGAGGAAGATTTCTAAGGAAATATAATTCTACTAAAAGCTTATTTTTATGTCAAGTTTAACATAAGTCATTAGTTATGCTAAAGAAAATTAAAAACGAGGCTTTTAATAAATTATATAGATTGAAACAAATGGATACAACAAATACATATTTGTATTTTTTCCAAATTCTCTTGTAGATAATGAATGTTGTCAAAGAGAATAAGAAATGTACACCTACTTTTTACTTTGAAAAATTTAAAAGCTATACCAGAACCGAAATTAATTTAAAATTCATATGAAAGTAAATGATTGAGTTTTTTGGAAAATAAAGTGACATGATGAATGGAAAATTTACATATGTAATAATGTAAACACTGTGTAAAATAAATGTCGAGGATGTCCTGCACGTAATGTTCCACAAAGAAACCAAGATTTAGTTCCAGTCAGCTTGGCACCTTGTAAATAGGCGATGGCATTAAACAGACTGATTAGGAGTGCACGTTAATGTGATGAAATAAAAAGAAAACGAAATCAAAATGCTTACGGGTCGCATACTTTGGTCCTTCATGCTCGAGAGCTCCAGCTCTTGACTCACCCTTTTGTGATTGTCAGGCAGATTCAAGTAGCATTCGTTGTCAAACCGAAACTGACTCTGCGTAATAGTTGAAGATTGAATATTTGTTAGACATTTTTTCGAATATAAAAAATATTTTGTGCAACACCTGTAAGGAAAGTAATACTTTGCATGCCTGTAAAGTAGGCGCAAAACAGTACTTTGCTGCACTAGTGCGGCAAAGAGCTTACTTTGCTGCACTAGTGCGGCAAAGTGCTTATTTTGCTGCACTAGTGAGGCAAAGTTCTTAAACTTTTGGGTTTTTTTGGTGATATACATACACGGAGAGAAAAATCAAGCGTTTGTAGTAAGACATGGTCTATACTTAAAAAGCACGGCGCTGTTTATACTCGATTTGTAGAAATCTATGCTAAAAGAGTATAGGTCTCTACTAAAAGAGTATAGGTCCCTACTCTTTTAGCATAGATTTATACAAATCGAGTATAAACAGCGCCGTGCTTTTTAAGTATAGACCATGTCTTACTACAAACGCTTGATTTTTCTCTCCGTGTAGGTATTTGTTTTCTATTTGTAGAATACCTGTTTTTTACAGTAATATACGCGTAGAAAACCACGTATATTACGTGCGGTAACATACGTTCCAAACCCTGCTAAACAGTACGTATGTTGGCGTCAACTAGCGTTTCCAAACAGCTTTTTTTATCAAAACCAAAAGGTGTTGCACAAAGTACTGTGTGCAACACGTACGAAAGAAGATTTTCCAACTTCGTGCAAATTGCTGCCCTCGCTTCGCTCGGGACAGCAAACTTTGCACTCGTCGGAAAACAGCTTCTTTCTGTACTTGTTGCATAATATACTATTAAAAAATATAACTTTGTTTGTACCTTGTAACCCGGTCCTAGCCTATGCATTGCGCAAATTTGATGCGTCGTCAGAGCCTCACTGAAAAGGTAAATGGCACTCATCTGACCACAGAAAACACGCTCCTCGTCCAGTTCTGGTGTAGCGCCGATGTAGCATTTATCAAAAGGCTGTGCAAGGAAAAATAGCGTTAAAAAAAAATCGTTAAAAATTCGTGAAATGTCAATTTTCTCCAATTCCTGCTCAGAAGATACTTACATCATTTGTCGACACGAACCACGTCATTTCTGTACTAGAAGCTAACTGACCATTAACTAAGCACTTGATTTCGCTCTTTGTCCACCTGTTGTATATGTACACCACCGCAATCATGTACCACTGAAATAAAAGATAATCACAATTATTACATCTTTTGCCGAAATTAGGAGTTTATTTATTGCTTATCATTTCTGTGAATTCGGTTTTAGGATTCAAATTTTCTTGAATACAAGAAGAGTTTTACTTTTTCAATAAAAATAGTAAAAAAAAAAAAATAATGAAAAGTATAAAAAATGTGCAAGTTTTAAACTGCCTGTAGGAGTTAAAAGAAATAATATATTCGCGACTTAACTTAAAACGCCTCCACATACATGTATATTTCGCTTGTAAACCTTGTGTAATCACAAACCTTTCGCGGTTGAAATTCATATTTCACGCAGTGTTGCAGTCCCTTGCCCTTCATTTTCATAGACGTCAAAACGAGGCAATTGCCAACAAAATGTGCAGAATAGCCGATTCCCTTGCTCGTCTTGAAACTGGAGATGTAAAAACACATACATTTTCTTGACGCTTTATAATTCTATTTTAGCAGGATAATTGTTGGATTAGTTATAAAAAAGGTTCATTTAGTGCACGACTCTCTTTTTCCAGATTTCGAAATAGAGGAATCATGTTTTGACGATACGTTTAATTTAAAATGTGCACATGTAGCGGCAATGCTTACCAGTATAGATATGGCTTTTCTCGTTCAATATTAACAGAGTTGATGGGGTCCAATCTGAACCATGTCGTAAAAGTAAATCCGCTTTCATACGGCCATTTTGCGAGTGGTGGTAGAACGATCGCCTAATGAACAAGAGGGAAATTTAATAATTGCACATAACAATTTGAAAAAAGTCTCGAAATTATATTTCCATTTTTCCGAACTTGTATTTCTTGTATTTAAATTTTGTTAAATGAGTGCATAAAAATCGAACCATCTTGAATAAAATTAAATCGCTCTTTGCGTGAGTTGAAAAATAAAAATTGACGGTAGGTAATGAGACCAAACTCTCTTTAAAATTAATCAAATCTCACCGATCCTTGTCTGCCTGGAAAACTGAAAAAAACGTCAGGTCCATTCCTCTGGGGCATTTGTCGAAGGACATTCAATAATTTCGCCGAATGTCGTGGCTGCAACAAAAATAATGTTGTTTTTACATCGGAAATTTAAATCTTTTAGAAAGAGAAATTGATAATTGCATAAATAACAGACTGTTAGGTAATTGAAATATTTATCTTGTTGGAATATCAAGTTGGTGCATTGAGGTGGATTGGGATTTAAGAAGTGTCTTGAGTACACAACTCACACTTACCCACTTTCCTTTGACTGCTTTCATTGCGCCAAAAAGGAGCTTCAGTTCTTTCACCGTTATGCTGTAATTCGCCAAAACTCCCAGCATGTCGATCATTAAATCTGTTTGAAAGAATTAAAATTAAATGAAAATTAAATTAAAATTAAATTACGCAGAAACCAAATAGAAGAAGCGACTTTTTTAAATTTACCTGCGACGACAGTTTCTGCTCGTGACAATCGATGCAAAACGAGTTCGATAAGATTGACGTCTGTACATGCTTGTAAATTGCGAACACTTTTTCTCAAAATGGCTATGAAGACGCTCCATATTTCAGCCTGAAAAAACAAGTTCATTTTCATGAGATGAATTATTATTATTAGCAGAAAATTAATTGATTTAATTTAATCTTGAAACAAGTATAAAATTGAAAAATGAAATAGTATCGGTTCGGGTAAAATGCTCTCCTCTTAGGCTTTTAGCTAAATTATAAGTATCTCCTCGTTCTACCAAGGCTTTTCATACAATTGAATTAAGTGTGAGAGTCACTCAAAGTGCTGTGCAGATGTAATTTCTTGTCTCGCGTTATTCATGTCGTGGAATGTCGTGGAATGTCGTGGAATCTCAGGCACAACATTCAGCAAATTTTGTATAGCATTTAGCTTTAGGCACATTCGCTTCAACTTGATTTGAGTGAGTTAACAATCAGACGACAAGTGCTTAAGAGTGTACCCATCTACTGTTATCGCAGAACAAACTTGGAAATCTTGTTGAAATTAATCTGCACTTTCCAGCTTTCAACAAATATCCAATCTGTAGCAATTCTTCCAAATATCAACTTTCCCCTCAAATTGCAAATTTGCAAACTGACAGTTGCTTTGCATAAAAATTCACAATGCGAGCATCGAGATTCTTAATAGAGATTGTTCTTGAAAAAAACTCTAGCGAAAGGAATTTTTGTACAGTGTTCGATATTTACGAGCAATAGCGATATTAGTATGCCTTGAACATTGCATTCCATTATTATTACGTTCCAGAACCGTTATTGCGTTTCCAATATCCTAGGAGTTTTGCTGCATGATATATTCATAAATAACCTCAAGTTATTTCTTCCTCCAAGAATAGCAGAGCAAAAGTGAAGTCAGCTTCCTAAATTATATTAATATAAATAGTGTACCAATATTTAAGGGCGCTTTTCGAATCTTTGTGTTTTCAGGTTATTCTTTTAAGTGGTTTGTAAAAAAAATGTTGACGTTCGTGAATGTAAAAGTGTCAAGGAGTCAGAAATGACTTTTTTTGCAGAGCAAACAATAAACAAAAGAGGATCATCAGAATAAAAACACCTACTTGACAATGTTAAGGACATGTTATTCGTTCAATAGTTTTCCAATAGTGCAATGTGGAATAACGTGACCTTAATCATGTCTGCAAAAAAAAACTGTGTATACAAATTGGCAAAATTTTAATGTTTTTTTCCTCAAAATCCGAAAATTCAATCATGGCAAAATTGCCTTTTTTATGTCACACTTCTTCCACTTACTTTTTCCAATCATTCGAATGCGAGGAGGAAAATTGCAAATCATATAAGATTTATTCAATATGCAAATGTTTAGCTTTTGGAAAGATGCGAAATACAGAAACAGGAATTCATTTCACAGTGTTTTTAAATAACATTTAAATATTTAAATAAAGTGAGTTGAAAAGTATTTAAAATAATTTCCAGTGAAATTTCACAATTACATATTTATTTGTAATCTATGTATAATAACATTATATTTATGTTAGTCTATCCTCTTGTACGAATGAAAGTATATAAGTAATAGATAAAAATTATTTATGAAACATTAAAAATAGTAATTCAATTTTTTATAACAGAAATAATTAATAAAAGCTATTATCGAAAAAATTGGCGCATTCTTTCGTTGCATATTTCTTCATATACATGATTGATCGAATGTGCACCAGATGCTCAATATTTTCTCCACGTATTTGGTCACGAATTAACTTTTTTTTAGTAAAGTAAATGCATCGTGCACTTTAATAATAATAACAATAATATAGTTACTTGAGTGAATAGATGTTGATTTTCGTTTCGACTTTCTTTTTTTTATTTAATTTAAGTAATTTATTTGATATAAGATGTTAAGGTTAACAAAAACGGTCAGTTATTTTGAAATCTTTTTTCAAACTTGACGAAAACTTGACGAAAACTTGACGAAAACTTGACAAAAACGGTGGCTTTTCTTTCCCTTCTGCCCTGATGAAGATTCACGTGCGCAAGAAGTGCTGTACGTGCGGTTTTCTCAAGAGTATCATATGTAAAGATTACATTTATAAAAATGCAACAAAGAACTTGGAAAGGGGACGAAGAGAGAGCTATGATTTCTTATGAAATTAATCAACTTTTATTCGGAATGTTTTCGTGCCCGCGGCATGGCATCGGGAGTGCGGGCAGATGCGAAATTCCTAGGCAGTGAATTTTGCTCCATTTCGGGCAGCCTTTATATTGTTAGTCGCGTCACGTGGCGTCACATGGCGTCACGATGTGCCTACTACAAGTGCAGGCAAATCCTGGCTTTGGTAAACCTCCTGTGAATGTATCTTGTCGCACGTTCCCTTGCTTTTCCACCCTTGTTCGCGTGAAAACGTGTCGCGTACGGCAACTCGCATTTACGCGTTTCGACCCTAATTCAAGGCCTCTACATTATTCACTGTACGCTCTCCCAACTGCGAATAAATGTACTTTTCAAACTTGAAGCAGCAATCCAGGTTTACAATCGGAAATTATGAGACCTTCTTTTCCAAAAAAACAGTACAGTATCCAGTACTCAATAAAAAAAAAAAAAAAGGAACCAAAAGGATTTTTATGGTGCGATTTATTCCAATTTTTTTAGGCATTTTAAAATGCCTTCCAGCTAGATTTCTATTCATAGTGTATAATTTATAAAAGTAACACATGTAATCCAAATGATTTATTTGCATATATGTTGTTGGTTTTTAAAAAATCACTTTTTTGCACGCTTAAAGGGAACGTTTCAGTTAAGGATAGGCCAATCTGCCTTTCTTATTCTCTCTCTTCCCATGAGATCGTTCAATTTCTCTGTGGCTCCTCAGCAATCTATTTCGTTTCGTGCTTTAGAGCTTATTCGCTGAGCTATTTATTTGCAAATGTCAAAGGAACTAAAGGTTCAACTTGATACAATCTTTAATAAATTTTGTCAGAAGAGTAAAATATTTCCACTCCAGAAAAACAAATAATAGATTAATGGAATCTTCGTAACAATGCTTTATTAATTTTTGTTGGAAAAAGATAATAATTTTGTAATCAATTGTTATGAAGATGAAATAATAATGAAATAGAGAAACTCATTGTTTAGAATAGACATAAAGATGGAGACAAATAGACAATTTTTTAACACTTGGAATTAACGTCTTTTTCGTTCTCAACTTTAATTAATTTGTATAGTTAAATCGCATGAAATCAGAAGGATCATTCTTTGTTAAAACACTCGATTTTAGCTTCAAGTCGAGAGACACTTGAGTTGGCAGAATAATGTCTTCAAAGACAAGAGAAGATGATGAGTTTCGTTCAAGACATTTTACGTTTAATGTGAGCGGCTACTTGTAAATCCAAAATTAAGAGTTGCGATAAAAGCAGTAAAATATTTTAATGCAAACAGTAATTGTCTATAAACATCACTGCTATCACGTTCCAGAGAAAAAGGAGGTACTTTATTTCTAGTACCTACAGTTTCACTGGATTATAATAATTATACACATTTGCATTGCCGTAATTACATCATTTTTTCTAAATTTACGTTTTAGTGAATAATCTAAATGTTTTCTTCATAATTAAAAGTAGGTGACATTGAAATATAAAATTTTTAGCCTTTCCTATATTCACAAGTAGAATAAAACTCTAAAACTCTTGTTTTGGTTGTTGATACATTCAGTGAGATGAAAGTACTTTCTCTAGACGTCGAGTAATTTTTGTGAATCGAGATTTTTAAAAAGAATGCAAATGTTGGAAAGAAAGAATCGCTTCCAGCTTCTACTATAAATCTTGGAACTAGCGAGGCTTGTGTCGAGTCGGTGGCTTGCATAGAACTGGAGGAAGGATGTCGTAAAAGTGGAGGCAGTAGCAGTTCACGGTTCACAGACTAGCAACTTTGAACCTTAACGGTCGCAGTTGATCGTTTATCACTCCAAGTGTGAAAGGTATAACCATTTTATTCCACAGGAGCCAAGTACCGTTGACCTTCATAACATTTACGCCCATCTCAAAAAGTATGTAGATCCCGAATTCAACAGTCGAATTATGTACGTTCACATATTTTATTTTCCCCCTCCGAGAACATGAAAATCAGAAAACCTTTATTGCTTCTCCGCCGAAAAAGCGGAAAAACCCGACCATCCTACAAAGATTATTTGAAAAGGGAATTGTATTAGGACTCTCCTGCTGCTACGAACAATAGTGCATGAACGTTGTCAGAAGGGACAACTTCTTTTCCGAAACTTTGAGTAAAAGTTGAATTGCACGTCAAACAAATCCTCGAAACCACTTACTCTTTTCAAAGCAATGTAAAATTGAATTTAACGAAAAACTTGCGCACCGTCAACTTGATTTCGTAGATGGAGAAGTTTGCCACAAAAAATAAAGAAAAAGACTGTTTTCATCGTTAGGATATTAGAACAAAAACAAAAAGAGACGAAACCACAATTCATGTACCTAAAGTTAAAATAAAGTTAAAGTTAAAGTTGAAGTAGCGTGACCATTGGCACATTATCGTAATCCGACTTTCGGATTAGACAAAGGAACTTGTATGCAATGCAGTGTATGGATTTACTTCCGAAAGGGAATATTCCCGGCATCGCAGTTCCCTGCAACTGTGAGCAGCCGGTGATATAGCATGCATACACATACATTTCTACCTGTCCGCAAGCTATCCGAGGAAATAGAGTTACCGCGTGCCATATTCCAATTACCTTCCTCTTGCCACTTGGCACTAACCCTAAACCGATACGAGAAATTTCCTTAAGGCCACAGGCATGTTGAGATTTACTAAACCAATACCTACGTAGAATTCGTTGGTTTCGTTTTAAGTGAACATCTTTGTTTCTTCAATTTCATGTTTTCCGCAACTTTACTTTTTCTTAAGCCTGCCGAACTAGAATACAGAAATTCAAATGGAAATTCAAGATGCAAGAAATTTTCAACTGTCTGAAATTCCTCTATACGTGTAAACACAATCAATCTAAATGGATGAGTACTGTACCTGTAAAAATAGAAAGAGATTTATTTTTGCAATGGATTGTCGACCACATTTTCCAGTCACGT